TACCGCACGCCGCCGACCCCGCCGAGGGCCTGCCGCTGGAGCAGGACGGCCGCGGGTTGCGGCCTTTCGCCCCGCCGCGGGTGCCGCCGCCTCCGACCCCGCCTAGGGCCGAATGACGACGTGAGTTCGACGCTCTTCTTGGGGGTGCGCGCGCGGCTCTATTGGGTTCTGCGCTGAAGAGGGGGAGGCTCAGGAGGGGTGGGTGGATGATGCTGGCGAAGATGAGGATGGTGGCGAGGCTGATGTTGATGGTGAGGGTCAAGATACGGGGAGGATGGTGGTGGTGGTGATGATGACGGTGATGTTGGTGACGAGTGTGCGATCATGAAGTTGTTGATGATGGTAGTGGTGTTGTTGGTGATGGAGGTGTTGTTGATGATGATGATGACGATGTTGATGCTGATGATGCTGATAATGGTGATGATGACGATGATGACGATGATGCTGATGATGCTGCTGATGATGTTGATGATGATGGTGGCGGTGATACTGCTGCCGCTGATGATCCGCCCCAAATCGGGCGCGTGTCGGACCGCCGACGTCGGGGGAGACGCGCGCGGAGGCTCGTCTGCGGAAACGTCTCCATCGTGCCAAGCCACGCGGGAGCCTCGGGCACCTCCTCTCCTCGCGCGCCTCATGCCGCGGCATTGTCCGAGTTGTGGCCACCGCCGCGTCGACAGCACCGGATGGCTTCGCGCGGGAGCCGCGCGGTCCTGGACCCCGCTCCCCCCCCCCCCCCTATATATATATATATATATATATATGACTTTCTTTGAAGATAATTGTGCCTCATCTCTCGCTTGAGCTCGACCGCATGCGTATGTGCTCAAGTTTTTTCGGCAGGAGCCCCGTCCGCGCCCCTGCATGGCCGCGGCCGTGGAGCTGGTGGGGCTCGGCGCGCGGCTGGCCGAGGTCTGGCTGCTGCGCGGGCCGGCCTGCCCCGCGTGCCCGGCTTGCCCGGCCCAGACCTGCACGCTCACGTGCAGTGGGCCGGCCACCTCCCACACCGAACCCGCCGAGGCGCCCGCGCTTGCCGCCGGGCCGGGCTGGCTGGCGGTGTGGCTGGCCGCCGCGGCCGGGGCCGCGGGCGCGTGGGCACTCGGGCGCCTGCGGCTCTTCGCCAGGCCGCCCGCCGCCCGCGCCGAGCCGCCGGCCCCGCCGGCGCTGCTGCCGGCGCTCGCCGCCTCTGCCGCCCCAGGCCCTGTGGCAGCCTGCCAGGCCTCGGCGCCAGGGCCAGTGACGCCCAGCCAGCGGCGAGCGCGGGCCCAGGAGCAGGATGGATCGTAGCGTCCCGGACGTTCCGGAGGCGCAGGTCCTCATCGACTTCATGGACGACGAGAACGGGCTGCGGTGGCACGCGAGGCTCCTCATCATCCAGACGCCCACGCCAGGGGTCTGGATCGGGAGCACGCCCGACTTCTCGGTCCAGCGGATCGACCTGAATGTGCACCGGGTGATCGCCCTCGCTCGTGGGCAGCCCTACCCGCCGGCGCAGTGGGCGGAGTCGTACGTCTTCGACAACCCCATCCCCGACGCCGACCTGAGGCGCGTCCGGCAGCAGGCGGCCGCCCTGGCGGCCGTGTTGGGCCAGGCCCCTCCCGCGGGCCCAGCCGCCCCGGGCGGCGTGGGGGTGTGGCGCGTCGCCGACCCCGCCGCCCGCAGCTTCGGCGACGAGGTGCCGGCCCAGATCCTCACGGACCGTGCGACCTTCATGACTCCCGAGGTCGCTGCCGACGAGGACTACCTGAGTGGCCTCGTCTTGATTGACAACTGCTGGACCTTCTGCCAGCTCGTGGCCGACGATGACCGTGCTGCCTGGGAGCGTGCGCTGGTGTCTGGCAATCGGCGGGACGATCGCGTGACAGGCGACGCCCGCGAGCCCATCTCGGGCCGACGCTTCATCTCCTTTGCCGACTCGTTCGGGCTGCAGCACGCTGCCGCCGAGCCGCCCTTCCCGCTGAGCGGCAGTCGGGTCACCCACGAGTTTGTGAAGACGCTCCGCGCGACTGGCATGGAGTGGATGTCTCACCACCTGGACTTCATCCACAAGTCGGGCATCTCGCCCAACAGCAACATCACGCGCGCACATCGGAGGCTCACAGAGGCGCTGCACGCCTTCCAGCAGCAGGACATGCTGAACCTGCCAAGCCTCTCGGGCGTCGAGATTCTGGTGCGCTACCTCGTGCAGATCGAGATGGCGGTGGCCCGCAACCCGCGCAGCCCGGACTTCCAGGACCTCGACGCGGTGGTGGCCTCGACGGTCAACGAGTATGGCGGCCTCGTCCTTCCCGAGTACTCCAAGTACATCGCTCAGATCCAGAAGGACGAGGCCTTCACTTTGAAGCAGCAGCGGCAGTGGCGCGAGGAGCAGGCCACGCGTCCCCGCGGGCGTGGCTCGGGCGACGACGCAGGCGGCGGCGCTGGCGGCGAGGACGGCGGCGCGGGGCGCTTCCGGGGCCGCGGGCGCGGCCGTGGAGGTGGAGGCGGACGCGGCGGTCGGGGCGACGCCTCGGCCGCCGCGCAGGGATGACTCCTGTCGCGCGGGCTGCGGAGAAGCGGCGTTCGCCCCGGCGCCGTTCGGCCAACGATACCTCCGCAGTCCGCTTCGCTGGCGGGCGCACGAGGGGACCTGATGCCGAAGGGGCCCCTCGATTTTTGACTGGTCGCGCTCACGGCGACCCCTTTCCTCTGCCGCTGCTGGGCAGATCGACGCCGAGGGAGGTGCTGCCCCTGAACCTCTCCTCCGGCGTGCGGCGGCGGTGCAACCAGGCGATCATGGCTCTGAACGACCTGGACGCTCCGCTGGCGGCTGCGCGGCGCCTCGCCTCGGTTCTCCCGGCGAACGCCGCCCAAGCATCAGTATTGCAGCGCGTCCATCAGCGAGTGGCCGCCTTCGGCGACCCCATCGGCGTGGACGGTGATGACGCGCTTTGTTCTCTCCTGAAGTCCAAGGACGTCTACAGCGGCCGGCCGACGCCTGTTCGGCCTTATGAGCCGCGCCTCCTCAAGGTTCTCGACAGCGGCATCTCGCCGCAGCCGATCCGCTCGCTGGTGCCGCCCTGGCTGCTGCCGCTGATCAACGAGCCGGAGAAGCACATCTTTCGGTCACAGGCGGTCCTCGACAGCATGGTGGAGGCCGGCGAGCTCCCCCCGATATACCCCTACTGGGATGCGAACCTGCGGCGGGACCCGGTCCTGCGGCTGGGCCTCTTCAAGCAGCTCATGCGCATTGGTCTCGTCGGTGTGCGCACGCGCTGCCGTGCCCGCGCCAGCATCTTCTTCGTTGGCAAGAAGGACGGCTCGCTGCGCATGGTGATTGACGGCCGCGAGCCCTCGGCTCTGCATCGCCGCCCGCCTCGGACCGAGCTCGGTTCGGCGGCGGCACTCAGCGGCCTCTGCCTCGACGCGGACTTGCTGGGCCGCGGCGGGCAGGGCTACCACGGGGCCAGCGCTGACCTGCGCCAGGGCTTCTACCAGATGCAGTGGCTCGAGATCGGCAGCTGGTTCTGCTTTGACTACCCCATGGCCATCCGCAACTTCGACACGGACCAGGTGTACGACGAGGTGCACCGCCGCTTCGAGCGCGTCGATCCCGACACCGTGGTCTACCCGTGCTTCCAGGGCCTCGCCATGGGCTGGAGCTGGTCGCTCTTCATCTGCAACGGCATCACCGAGGACGTCACCCGCATCGGCATCAGTCGGGCGCTGTCCATCGCGCCCGAGGAGGTCAGGATGGTCTCCGAGCGCTCCCCGTGTGCGCGCCTCGGCGCGGGCGAGCTCGCTGGGGCCTCCTACGTCGACAACGCCAACGTCGTCGGCTCGCCGCGCCGCCTGGTCGACGCGGCGCTGGAGGCTATCCTGCTCGAGTTCGAGCGTCGCGGCCTGGCCTACCACGAGGTGTGCTACGCCACGCGGGACTTCGTCTGCTGTGGAGTTCGGTTCGACTTCTGCGAGGGCCGAGCGGTGCCGCAGCGCGAGCGCGCCTGGCGGCTGCATCGGGCGGTCACCGCTCTGATCGACCGCCGCGGCTGCACGCCTGCGGCCATGGAGGTTGTGCTGGGGCACGTCGTGCACCACTTCATGCTCATGCGACCGGCCCTCGCTATCCTGAGCTCCTTGTACCGGGTCGTGTACGCGCCGAGCGACTACTGCCACTTCGACGCCGAGCAGCTGCGCGAGCTGGGGCTTATCAAGGCCCTCATTCCGCTCGCAGGTGTGGACCTCGGGGCCCCTTGGCACCCGTGGGCTTACTGCTCTGACGCCAGCCTGTGGGGCTACGCCCTGGCCACGTCGCGCTTCGATGAGAGCGAGCTCAGGGACATTGGCGCCTACCGCGAGCGCTGGCGGTTCGTCGCCATCGACCGGCATGCTGATGACCCTGGCGATCCGCCTGGTACCGAGGTCGCCACGCAGGCCGGCTTCACCGCGGGCGGCGACGACGCCGCCGTGTTCGCCGGGTTGGACTTGCCACCACGTGCGGGGCGTTCGTCACCATGCCTGGCAGCTCGACGGAGCCGGGCGGCTCGGATCGACGTGGAGGCGCCGGCCGCCGCCGCCTGCAGAGGTGGCATCCCGGCGCTGCCCGACGCCGCCCTCGCCGCACACAGGTGGCAGCTGGTGGTCCGCGGCGCCTTTCTCTTCGCGGCCCCGATCCACATCCTCGAGGGCCGGACGACGCTGCTGGGCCTCAGGCGGGCCACCCGCTCCGTGGCGGCTCACGGCTGCCGCGTCCTGTCTATCGGCGACAACCTCTCGTCCATGATGGCCTTCGAGAAGGGCCGCTGTGCCAACCCGGTGCTCCGCCAGCTGGCATGCCAGGCTGCCGCGCGGCAGATAGCCACCGGGATCCAGCACTACCATCGGTACTCGGAGAGCAGCCGAAACCCGACCGACCACGACTCCCGGGCGGCGGACCGTTTCGAGCTCGAGCCGGGCCAGACGCAGCGCGGGGCCCCGCGCGACCTGGCCCCGGCGCCTCCCCCTGCGCCGGCCGCCTCGCTGGCCAGCGGCGCGGGCCCGCACCGCCTGGGCGCCCGGCCGCGCG